ACGAGTAATGTCAAGACAAGTGAGTAATGTCAAGACAAGCGAGTAATGTCAAGATGACGAGTGAATGAGTATTGTCAAGACAAGACAAGTGAGTAATGTCAAGACAAGCGAGTAATGTCAAGATGACGAGTGAATGAGTATTGTCAAGACAATGAAAGAGTATCGACAAGACAATGAATCAGTCAGTGTCGTCAAGACAACAAAGTCCTTCAGTATTGTCAAGACATTGAATCAGACAATGAATGAGTATTGTCAAGACAATGAATTACGCCAGTATCATCAAGACAACGAATCAGTCAGTCTAATTTTATCACTATGAACAACCTTGCTTGCATCAAATCATGAGAATTCAGTCATAACAAATTAACAGTCTGTAGCAGTTCACGGTCATCATTTTGACCACTTGCAATGCATCATGGGAAATGGCCTTTATTTACAGAAGAGTGAAAGAGACATGCATCAGATGCTTACATGGATGGACGGGCTGGTAACTGGGGTCGATAGCTGCATCTGAACACAGAGAAAATGGTACACATGCATGACAAATGCGAACATAGACAATAACGACTCATACCTAAAACTTAACATGTATGGTAGCGTTTTCTCACACTTTTTTGGGGGTGATCACCAAAATTGGAAATAAATAACTGTCACTTAATCTTAACCTTCACAACAAACTACTAGTATTAACAAGATTAACCTTTTCACCACCAGTTTCCTCTTTTCATCACAAGTTCACAAAACATTCCTGTTTATAGTCTGCACTTTCCTTCAGAGGATTGGAAAAGTAGCCAATTTTTTTTCCAGTAAAAAAATGAAAATTGACTCAAATTTTGTCAGTTGGCGCTAAAATTAGGGTTTATTTCCAGAAATATTGAAGAAGGGCCCATACAAATTATAACATGAAGTAACGACTGTGCCACTTAACTACAAGAATACGAACACTCTTATTACCTTATATGATGTGGTTCTAGTTGTATCGGATGCCAATGGATTGTAATTATCGATACTTCCCACTCTCCTAGGGGGTTGACTCACTGAAAAACAATGTAAATATCAATGGTTATACAACAAAATATGATATGCTCAGATTCTCAAACTTTGATGTTTTCAAACCAATGTCAAGTTCAAAGTTGGATTCCCAGTTAGCAAGTATAAAATTATTATGGAGATTGTAGATGGTTAACAGAAATTAAAGGGTGGTGGTCATCGCTCTGCACATGCGTGACATTTGTGTTGATTTCCCATAATACAATGAATTTTTCTGATGGAAATCACAAGTACAATTTTTGACCTTGACACGACGTACACTAATTACCGCCGATGATTCCCTCGATACCTTCCAATCACCTCTTGGTAACCTCTTACTTTGTACCCCTTGTTCTGCGCAACAGTAAAAGTCGCCATCTTTGTACACAAGAGATGACCACTGCCCTTTAATTGCAAAATACGAATTTAAGCGCGCCTGATATTAAGCTCGATCTCCAGAAAGTACCAGGATGTGTGACCTTTAAGGGACCATGCATATAAAAAGTCTATTTTAACATTACTCACCTGCTTCCAAGTCTCTGATTGGATCGTAATCCTCTAAAGAACCAGGATGATGACCTGTTAAGTAAAAATAACAACAAATCAGTTTTTGTACTGTTAAATCTGTATTGGAATCCTTTGAAAGGAATGCGGCTTCTATTACAGCATCTACAAACACATGTGAGAAAAGGTGAATTTTCGATTCTCAATTGTTCAAAAAAAAATTGGTGTGGATTCTGTCACAGATGCGGGTTCTAAATACAGATGTTATGGGAGTCATAGAAATGGCGCCACCAGTGGTGGATCAAAGAGATTACAAATTTATCAATTTGAGAATAAGTATGCAAGTAAATTTGGAGAGTACACAAGGGAATCACTGATGTATGTTTTATATTTTTATGAAGAACTCATCATGAACAGCGCCCCCTAGAGTTGTTCAGCGCCTAATGTGGTGACAAAGATACGAACAAAGAGATGCCAGGAGATGAACTACTTTATATTTCACCAAATTTACAACTCCATTGAAGGAACAGCCACATGAATAAACACAGGCAATTATACAGTTACTAATTTAATGCCAATAGCAAATAAAATTGGGACAACTCAGATTAATTAAAAAACAATAGAAATGCAAAAATTCACCACTGAGGGCACCATTTAAACCTTGATATCAACCCAAGAGAGTCCCACATGCATGCAATGAGTCAGTCAGTACAAGGTTATTTGATATTTTACACTTGCAGTTTTCTAGAATTTTCCTTTTTTTTTTTAGACCAAACGGATATAATTTCTCACTTTTGAAAGATCCAAACCCAAATTCTGGTTGAACATGGAGACAAAAATTATGTGGTTTTATTTTGTGAAAGGAGAAGGAAATTGGACTTGGTGAGTAAAGGAAGGGACACACACAAATATGTTTTTAATTTTTTTCAAAATCACTTTTTGAAAAATTTTGCTGGAAATTTTTTGACCTGTAAAGAAATATCAGTTTTGTAATAAATACAGAAGTATCTACGGTATTCGTAAGATATGCGCATAAGAAATTACTTGTCAATTACTGAACACCACCAAGCAGCTCTAAGGATTAAATTGCAGTACGAGACAAACACAAGTAGAAAAAGATGGCTGAATTCCCCAACCCCATTTACCTTCAACGAAAATAATGGTCCAGCCCATAAAAGCAAGAAGTACTCAAAGTTTTGCTAACTTTGGGTAGAACGGTACAGCTTTTGCACAAACTGTCAATGTTTGCATTCACATCATGCAATGTTAAATATTAGTGTTGCACATATACTACATTTTGGTCACACATTTATATTTTTTCCCCATGATGCTTGATTCTGATATTTACGTCACACATTTTTGGCGCTGCAGTGGCGATCTAAATTTAGTCAGTGAAAAGACAAACACTGGCGTCTGACTTCGATTCTTTAATAAAGTGATCTAATGAAAATTTAAATACACTGGCTGGGCCATCAACAATATGCGTTATGAACGCAGAAAATCAATGACACGAATGTGAAAAATGCAATAGAGGTTTGACGTGCATGGATGGGACAGGATATTGTTTAAGGGCAAGATTTTGCATATGTGACATTGCCCCGAAAAATACGCACAATTTTTTACAACAAAATAGTTTAGTTAATCAATGATGCTATCTTCAAAATGAACGATACATCAAATATTGGTAGTGTTTATTCACAACAAAACAAGACAAGACCACGGCTGAATTTTCATCACGCATGCCGACAAACAACATTGTACAGTAAGTGCAATCTACGTTATGTTAGTGTGTGTTATGGCGGGGAGGGGGGGGGGGTCATGCAATCCACGTACGAGAATTACGCTCTTACCAAAATACAGGAAAAGCAGTTACAGTAGAAAGTGGAAAGAAAAGATAAAGAGAAAAAAAAAGCATCAGAGTTAAACGTGTCATGTGTGTTAACAATAAATGGACAGCATGTAAAAATTTGTTTAAACCGAACACCATTTTGTAATCGCTTCTCGAACGATTGATCATGTATATTCATATGCGATGACAACACATGCTAAAAAACACAAAGGTTCATGGGTAGACACTTGTTTGTAAACAATGACACGCTATGACCATCTGACGCATGTGCAGGTGAGACATCCCGCTTTAAAGTTGCATTCCAACTTACATGCAGAGCATCTGCCACTGAGTATTGTGCTCTTCACGAATAATTATAAAATCAGTGGCTTAAATTTTCTTAAGATCATACAAAGTGGAAACGTAATTTTTAAGTTGAAGTTTCGGTACACAATGGACAACGGGAATGTGATTTGTATGCATTTGTTTGACCACAATTTGAACCACTCCATCATTTTTCTGCTTGAAACTTTTGAAACTCACAAACAGGGGGGTGCAGATGTAAATTGGAACAACCTATTGATGTACTGACAAGAATGTGGTCACATGATAACAAAATACGATTTCATTGACTGTACCTGCTTGACGTGGTTGTCTGACACCGTCTTCGTCTTTTAACGGTCGTCTCGCTTCCATCATGTACTTAGTGTCATGATGTCCATGATAAGTAGTCTGGCTCTGTATACCGGTGTTCTTTCGGATCCTCATCGTCTCGGGGTCGTCCACGACTGATAACACTTTTCCTTTTCCTCTTTCAAAGTCAGAATGGTATTTAATCTAGACCAGAGAAAAAAAGTGTACAGTAGATCAATGAATTGCTGCTGTATCGATTGTCACGCTTGGAAACACAGCCAGGCAGAATTTCAGCCAGCCACTTGTCTACTTTTTAGACAGCAATTTCTTTTGATAGGCAAAATTTTCACAAACATGTCAAATTCATTATCGTAAACAAAATAACCATAAATAATCACCTAAACATCAAAAATAAAAATAAACTAAATATCAACTAAAAATAAACTAAAAATCAAAGAAAACTTAGAAAGAACTCCCGTGTGCTGAGCGTATTAGAGACACAGTAAAAATTAATTCAAAATTACTTGTACTTGAGATATTGATGGAAAAGCTGAAAACTAATTATGCAAATCAGAAAATTAAAATGAGCAGATTTGAGTGTAAAACTAATAAGGTCTGCGCAATGTAACAGACCATCTATGTACCAAGTTTTATTGCAATGTGATCAGAACCAAAAAATTATGAATTATTATGCTAATTAGTGAATTAATATGAACAGATTTTAACCCAAAACTGACAATATTTGTACATTATCCTAGAGCATCTATGTACAAAGTTTCAATGAAATGTGATGATTAGTAGTCGAGTATCAGTGGAAAAGCCAAACATTTACTAATCATTATGCAAACTAGGTAATTAATATGCACAGATTTTCACCCAAAACTAATCAAAACCTGGCATTAGTTCAGAGCATCTATGAACCAAGTTTCCTCAAAA